CTTACCGGGGCTGTTGGCCTCGCCTTCGAGGACGTGCAGCTCGGCGCAGTCGGCCAGCGAGTGCTCCAGGCAGAGCTGGAGGAAGCGGGCCTGGGTCTGACTCACGCGCTTGAGCAGCGACAGCAGCGCAACAGTCTGCTCGCATTCGTTCCAGCCCTTAAACCAGCCCGCCAGCACCCCGACCTGGTCGCGAAACATCATGGTGAGGGGGCCGCCCGCCGTCTCAAGCGTCCCTTCGGCACCCCAGCCCGCTCCGCCCGCCCCGAAGTTTGGCGGGAGCCCCGCGGCCGCCCGAGATGCGGTCCTGTGCCGAGGTGGCGCGGGGGCCGGGCGCTGCAGGGACGCGCGGCTCCTGCTCCGGTCTGCTTCCAGTTACGTTCCGGTGGTTCGGGCTGCGGTCTCCCGAGACGCTGACAGACAGTAGCGCGGAAATGTTTCTTTCAAAAGAACGATTCAAAAAAAAAAAAGAGAGAATCCCTTCAAGGCACACAACTGAATGAAGAAGGCTCTGCCCCCCACCCCTTCCCTGCAGCTTCCAGATGGTTATTTCCGGCGTCCCGGGGTCTCCTCCCGCTGGGCTGCAGCTCGGCCCCTTCACAGCCGCATTCCCGGGCGCCGATCACCGCTGGAAGGAGAGAAAGGAATGCAGTGAGACCTCGAGCCCCCGGTGCTGGGTGCCCCGGGGAGTGGGTGCCTCTGAGGGTGCCCGGAGGGAGGGAGCGCCGCGGGAGGTTCCGTCCCCCGAATTCCAGCCACCCCCCTCCGACACCAGGATGCAGGCGATGCGCTGTCCCCGTGCTGGGAATGGCGAGAAGCCTCCTTCCAGGTGCGGGAGGGGACCCCGCGGCTCCCTGTTGCTGGTGCTCCCCGCACGCCCTACCCGGGGTGGCCGGGGCTGGGGGGCCGTGCCCGAGAACGCCAGCCCAGCAACAGATCTCCGGCGCAGAAAACTTGCACTGCGGCGGCGAAGGGGCGCGGGGGTGGGGGGGTAATGCAAAGCAGAGGCGGAGGCGGCAGCAGCCGCCGCCCGCGTTCCTTCCTCCTCCTCCTCCTCCTCCCGGAGAAGCAGCCGAGCGGCTGCAGCTCCATCTACAGCCACCGCCAGCATCGCCACCGCCAGGCGCCCCTCTGGATTTAGGCCGTGAGCAGCCGCGGAGGCAGCTCGAGACAAAAATAAACTCTCCCCACCCAAAGCTCCGAGCCCAGTGGGCGGCGGCGTGGCCCCGAGCCCCGGCTCCCCGGCGCAGCGCCAGCCCACCCCGGAGGTCTCCGCGGGCCTGCTCGGCCGGAGCGTCAGACGTGCGCGCGCGTGTGCT